AGGTGTGACACCACCGAGGACTCAAATCACAAAGCTATGAACACTTCTCTCGAACTACTCGATGAAAAACGTGAGGCTGCATTAATTCGAATGGCCGCGCAAAAACAAAGGATCGAAAGGTATTACAACAGAAGGACGAACCTTAGATATTTCAGAGTCGGGGACTTAGTCCTAAGGAAAGTCACTCTTAACACTCGAGACCCAAACAAAGGGAAGCTAGGTCCCAATTGGGAAGGATCGTACCGTGTCCTCGGAGTCATAGGGAAAGGATCCTACAAACTTAGCACAATGAAAGTTTAGCAACTACCAAACAATTGGAATATATCAATGCTCAAGCGATATTACTGCTGAGATGTTCGATCGGAGACATCGAGGCATCTTTCAGCTCGAAGACCTTGGGTTTGAAAGCATGCGTTGCACTCTTTTTCCCTTAGATCGGGTTGTATCCCAAATGGGTTTTACCGGCAAGGTTTTTAACGAGGAAAAACCTATATGCTACCTAAGGAACATTCAACAAGTATTCAAGGCTTCTTTTCAATTAACCTCGAATACTGGGGGGGGCATCACCCTCGGAGGTTATATTTTTTAGAAAGATATTTCACGCATAAGAGGGTCTCGATAGGAGAACTTTGTAATGGGCCAAACGGTCAAATGAACCGTGTCCATATAGAATAATCGAGCCCCGACAGCAAAGCATGTACACATGTACCAATTCTGTTAATATCGAAAACACTTCGCGTTTCAAAAAAGTCTACCATTACACGAATTCTACATCCCTACAGAAATGGCTTAAGAGCCAAAACATACAAGCACCCCGAATACTCGGGGACTGTCATCGAAAATTCAAACTAATAAGACCTCAAAGAGGCACCCCCTCGAAACAAAGGCCAAGGCCAATATTCTCGGGGACTAACTTCTCGAACAAGTTCGGAAAATTATCGGGAAACAAGTCCAAGTGACATACCCGAAGGCTACGGCCATACTAAAGACTACGGTCATATAAAGGCTACGGCCAAATAATGCGACTCGGAGACGTCCGACTTCCGCTATAAATTAAAGGCCTTCAAACACTTTATAAAAATCGGTTAAATCAGGCTACCCTCAGCAAAAGCAAAATATCAAGGGCTTCGATAAATTCAGCCCTCGAAAAATCCAAGGGCTTCGATAACATCGGCCTTCGAAAATACCTCAAGAGGTATTCGATTATGTTTACACAAACAAATTATTAATAAGGTTCTGATATGTCGAGCCTTCAGAAAAAACCCACGGGTACAAAGAACACATGCTAAGGCATAATTAAATTTTCACTAAGTCTTTTAAGCCGAAATGAGGGGAAAATTATATAGCCATTCTAAGAGCCCAAGGGCCAACCTAAAGAGCCTAAGGGCCGATGTATGAGAGCCCAAGGGCCAACCTAAAGAGCCGATATATAAGAGCTTAAGGGCCAAAAACGTATTATATGAGACTTCGTTCTCACTCAACCCGGACTCAAGAGTCACGGTATCCCGAGCTTTAGTCGGATCGATTTAAACTTAGCTCAGTGACTACTGTTTCTATCAACAAGGATCCAAGGGTTTATTATCCCGAGCCCTAACCCATTTCAGGGCCAATCGTTCAAGTTATGCAAAAGAAGCACTCTGTAAATCAAAACAGTACGAAATCCAGTACAAGTCGAGTTCGAGCAGAATATCCATTCGATTATTAAGCCCAAGGGCTATCCGAGTTTGAAGAATTTCTTGCTCGAGAACTGAGAAAAGGCCTAAGGGCTATCCTTATTACAAGTTCGAGCACGTGCCTGCTCGACTGCAAAGCCCAAGGGCTAACCGGGTTGGGGAAATTTCTCACTCGGGGACTGCGAAAAGATCTAAGGATTAACTTCATTTCGAGATCTTGCTCTCACCTAACTCGAGCTCGGGGATCATGATGTTTGGAGTTCGCATTTAAGCTCAGCTCGAGGATTAACGAGAACCTCGAGGGGTACTATATTAAAAACCTAAGGGTTTTATTATGTCCTAAGCTCGATATTTGGGCTAGCTATTGAAACCATCTAATCAAAGTCTTTTACGAATAAAGATAGAGTAAAATTCAGCATGAACCAGAAGGGATACAAAAGGATCCTTTTTTGCTTCCAAGAAATATTTACAAATTATAGCTACGGCACCACGGAGGATGCTTACACAGGAACAAAGAAGCAAAAAACAAAGCGAAAGAACCTAATCCACTTTTAAGACCACGTCCTCGGGAGCATCGTCTTCGGAATTTCTTTCCTCTGGGGCACCCTTTCAGATCTCTGGGAACGTATGTATGGGGCAGGAGGCCCTCGATAAATGTAATTATATCTCCAGCAGCCAAGATCGAGCATTCCAATGAAGTTTTGGGCCGCAATACAGGAAAAGACCAAAAGGGGTTGCAAGATGCACAAGCAACAATCCAAGAGTGTTCATCCTCGGAACTCTGTTCCGGTGTGGGATGCAAAAGTTAGTAGATGATAGTGCCACCTCATTCCACGGAAAGCAAAAGGAATGAAGCGCCACACCAGGTTGAAGTTAAGAGAGATGAGCAGCAGTATAGAGTTCGCATATCTTCTGATATGAGAAAGATCCGATGCCCTTCTCCCATTGTCTCGAGCCGAAGCTTTGAGAAAAGAAGCCTTGGCGTAACTGGTAAAGTTGCTGCCATGTGACCTTGTGGTCACAGTTTTGAACCATAGAAATGGGTGATTAGAGGAAGAGGTAGAAAAGGGAAAAGACTAAAAGTAGATGAAGAAGGAATAAGTGTAGTTTGTGTTCAGTCAAGTAACTTCTTATTTATAGGAAGCTGACGACGGAACCGGCGGAGCAAGTGGCCGACAAAGGCTGAAACGCATTGGACGTTTTGGGGAAGCACGCTGACATGACATTTCCGGTCACTTCAAGCGCCTACGTCATGGGCATGATATCATCACAAGTGGCTCGGGAAGATTGAGGTTCAAATCGTTTCTTATCATCTTATTCTAAGAAACGCGGGGACTATCTGTATTCGGTCAAAATCAAGGAGCCTGATTTCGAAGTCTTAAATTGGGCTATGAGTACGAGTCCGGGCGACTCGAAGTAGGGGTCGGACCCGGCTGAAGGACACACACCTCGAGGAAGCAGATCGAAGGCCTGGCACGACCTACATCGAGGGCAGTACAGTCTCGAAGGCACTCAAGAAAGAGCGAAAATTTCTCAAGGACACGTGGATCAGGGCATAAATTATAGGATAAGATTTGTATGAAATAGTGCAAGTCCGTACTAGGTCGTTATACAGCTATACCAATAGAATTTTTTATTATAATTGGAAATTTACCATATTAGGGTTTTTCCCTCCTATATAAAGGGGACTCCAATCATTTGTAAGGGATACATTATTCACTGCAATAGAACATTCTACTCTGCTTTCCTTGTTTAACGTGCTCAACAATTGCTCTTCAGCTTTATTGTCTTTATTGTTCATACTTTATCATTCTTAGCTGACCTCGAGGTCTCTGGGGTAATCAAGCTCGAGGCCCCTATTGCTCCAACAACACTAATTTGGTTCAGCAATTCTTCTTACTTAAGCTTAATATCACTGGTATAATCACTAGTATTAGAATATATCACATATCTTTAAAACCACAAATTATCTTTAATTGTCACTCACATTTTTCGAGGTAAACACATAAGAAGCTACAACTGCAAAAAAGGAAGCCCGGTGCACTAAGCTCCCACTATGCACGGGATCCGGGGAAGGACCGGACCACAAGGGTCTATTGTACGCAGTCTTACCCTGCATTTCTGCAAGAGGCTGTTTCAACGACTCGAATCCGTGACCTCCTGGTCATATTGCAGCAACTTTACCAGAAGCTACAACGGCAGAAAGCAGGAAAGATGATGGCTGGCATTTGCATTTCAGAAGGATGTTCATAACTAGGAGGTGGATAAAATAGTTCAGCTGTTTAGCAGGTTAGTGAACAAACAATCACATCTTCAGAGGAGGATATTCTACATTGGAATGCTGAAGGATGGATAGTATAGAGTAAACTCATGCAACAGGACACTTATGAAGTCCGATATTAGAAGAGAAAACCTTGCAGAGTAAGGTTCAAATTCCAATTGAAACAAAAAACACTAGGTGATTTCTTGCCATATGCTTAAGTCTTGGTGAGAAGAGTCACACGATGAGGTAACGAGTATCCAATAGAATAGTCGAGGTGTACACAAGTGTCCTGGACACCACCATCATAAAAAAGAAAGATATTAGAAGAGGAAAATGGCATTGGAAGATGATATGGAAGATAAGAGCTAAGTTGCTTGTATTGCATAGATAGGCAGTAGAGAGTCATGGTTTGACCCAAGATAGAGTATACAGAGAAGATGATTGTTGATTTGTAACAATAGCTACATGTATGAGCAAGCTCCAGAATCTACAGGCCATCTTTTATTACAATGCAGACAAGCATGGCAGATTGGGACTCTGTTCCCCAACCTTTTTCTGTGTGCAGTGGGTGATGCCATGTACTTTATTGGAGAATCTACTCAGCAGGGAAGGACAGAATAATAAAGAAGCTCAGACTCCTGAGGAATATGGACAGTTTGCATGGAGAAAATCACATCACATATATTTTCAGGGCAAATCAACTGTAATTTTTTGTTTAAATCAAGGTGTTGTCAGTTTTTGAGTTTTTGGTGTAAACAGAAGACTGAAGTATGTACCTGATTTAGGATCGACGTTAGAAATATTGAACTCCTGGCTGGATGACGGGAGCTAAATCATTGTACTTGACATAAATATTTAGCACCTCATTGGTAATATAATCAATGAATTATCTTACTTATCAACAAAATCCTTTAGCATTCAAAAGCAAGAATGTAATGAAATCAGAGAGGACGATGCTAAATCGTATGCTTTTCTCAAACTTTCTAGACAAAGAAAAGTATTTTTGCTAAACTGATTTATCAAAAGTTCTTTACATGGTGTAAATACATTCTTATTGTTGTATATCTAACAACAGGTTTAAAAATCTTACCAACAAAAACCTGAAATCAACAATCAAAAACTACAGCTAGAATTATCAAAATATCTAATTTTTCATCACCAATTATCTCTGCAGGAGCATTTACCATTTACAAAATGATGAAAACCTGAAGCATCTCTTATGTGTATATCTCTCTTGGTGACAACTGAAACATATTTGAAGAATGTATGGCAGTCGCCACAGAGATGCACGTTCTTCATAACACGAACGGGTTTCCCAGGTCTCGTCATAAGAAGCCCAAAGGTTACAGCTAGTTTTGAACTGTGGTAGAACAAGAAGTCTTTCTTTTGATGCTCCTCTACTTCATGAAGTACAAAACTTGTGTCAGGTACATATCCAGCTTTCAGACACTCCGGAATGAGTATTTGTAAGCCGCTGTATATGTCTTTTGACTGTGAATGCAATTTGTCTCTAGCAAAAAAGGTGTGAACCTTGTCGCCAAGTATGATCCAACTGCGTCCTGGTATTTTTCGAAAACCCTTCTCCCTCATCTCCGCCCTAACAAGTTCTGAACACTGCCATCTTCCAGATGCTGAGTAGAGATTTGACTTTAGTATGAACGTAGAAGGATCCTGCGGCGCAATAGATAGTATTTCCTTCATTGCCCTTTTACCAATGATAGCATTCACATGTATCCTACAACCTTCAAGCAAAGCATGCCAAACAGAAGCCTTTGGTTCAAATGGCATTGCACTAATTATCTGTTCTGCTTCTTCGAGCAGACCCCAATAGCCTAAGACACCTACAAAGCCTGCATAATGTTCCGAGGTGGGTTTTACGTTATATGAGGATTGCATTGAGGAAAAGAACTTTTGGCAACAATCAACTAAATTACTAGAAGTGTGTCTATAAGCAGATATCACAAGGACACAGGTAATAGAATCTGGTTTTACTCCTAAGTTTTCCATCTTCGCCCACATATTCAATGCCGCATCCCCCTGCCTATGAAGGACATAGCAAGTCAACAAACCATTCCATGATACTAAATCATGTGTAGGCATAGCCTCAAAGGCCTTAATTGCACTTTGCATTTCATCACACTTAGAGTACATGCTGATCATGGCATTCCCAACACCGGTATCAGACATTAAACCATGTTTCAAGGCATAGCAATGGATTTGTTCCCCTAACTTTAGAATCCCTAATGTTCCACAAACACCAAGAATAGTGGCTAATGCAACTTCATCAACAACCAGTGATTCTTCTGAATGCCTGACCAAGAAAAGAGAAATAGCTTCTTCTGGATGTCCATCTCTAGCATATGCACACATCATTGATGTCAATGCAACTGAATTATCATGGTCAAGTGGCAGCTGATGAAATATCTTTTTGGCATCATCCATTCTCTCACACCGCGTGCACATATCAAGCAATGACGTCTCAATACGATCATTTGATTCTAAACCAAGCTTGAGGATAAATGCATGAATCTGTTTGCTTATCTTCCTTTCCGTCATCGACCCACAAGCATTAAGAACACTGGTCAATGTAAAATCAGTCAATTCCATCCCTCCCTCCAACATTCCACAAAATAACCCCAGTGCCTTAAACCCTTCGTGATTTTGAGTAAATCCAGCCAAAAGAGCATTATAAGAAACACAGTTCCTTTCAGGCATACTGTTAAAAATCTCCATCGCAAAATCAACATAACCAAATTCCATATACGCCACAATCATTTCAGTCCAACTAAAGACATCCTTCACAGGCATCCTCTCAAACACATCCACTACATTTTTCAAGGTTCCACATTTGGTGTAAAAGCCTATAAGTGCATTATTCACACTCAAATTACCATGTAATCCACTTTTAAGAGCATGTGCGTGTAGGTTTTGCCCTTCTCTGACCGCCAAACAGCGGGAAGATGCAGCCAAAAGGGTCGAAAGAGTAAAATGATCAACTATTAAGCAATCATTTCTCCTCAATTCACGGTACATTTCAAATGCTCTTTCATACATGCACTCTTCAACCATACACGAAATCGTAGTGTTCCACGAAACAATGTCCCTTTGTGGCATATCATTAAACAAAAGAATCACAGATTCCAGTAAACCACACTTACTATACAATCCCATAAGTGCATTAACAACATAAGTATAACTCAAATACCCTAATTTGACAACAAGACCGTGTACTTGACGACCTAACTCAAGATTCAACGAACGAATACAAGCAGTCAAAACAGCAACAAATGTATATTCATTTGGTTCAATACCTAAGTCCCTCATTTCAAGAAACAGCTCAAAGGCTTCTCTTTGACGATTCGACTTAGCAAAAGCCGATATAATTGCTGTATACGACACAACATCAGGGCTCAAAAGCGAATCGAATACTTTCTCAGCAAGATTCAAGTGACCAAGCTTGAGATAAGCTGCAATTAAAGCATTTTTCAAATAAACATCCTCTTCTTCAAGTTTGAGAATTGAAGAGTGAATAATCTTTGCGAGTTCAACATCACCACACCTAACAGAAATACGAAGCAAATTGGCATAATCAATCCTATTAGTGTCAGCACCTACTGTGACATTTGAGTCCTTAAATTGCTGAGGGATCAAAAGGGGTTGAAAAGGACGAGATTTTGAAGGGTATTGAAGGAAAAAGGAAGGTTTTTGCTTATATTTGGTTTTCTTGGTAGTTGCTAGGCTTGAAGTAGAATGAAGGTTAAAGGGTCGAGTAGGAGGGAGAAAGGAGAGAGGGATAGAGATGGTGGGGCTGTGGATAACGGCAGCCATGAAAGAAGAAAGGCGCCAAGCATAGTCAAGGAGCTGGAATCGCTAAGCTAAGTTTGGTGTGAAGTGTATTTCCACTGTGTGTTTTTGGGGGGTTTATGGCTATCCAAGAATTGGGTATCCATTTTTTTTCCAGAATGGTTTATCTTTGTCTTCTCAGTATCTTCAAAAGTGAGAAGCTTAAATGTCGGATAAAGTTTTGTAAAGGGTTTTGAAAGTTCTGGGAATTCCACTTTGCCCCTAAAGGTTTTGAGTGTTGAGAATTATTCCCCTAGAAGTTACTATATCCTTCAAAATAATCGTATATAATTTAAATAGAAGAAAATAATCTTATAAATATCTCATAAGTAATATGCTGTCAGTATCTTACATCTTAACATAGAGAATTATTAAAAATGAATTATATAAAAAAAAATGTAACGGATCATGTCCACATGACACATTTGAATTGTCCATCTTAACTTGCATAGATAAAAGAAAAAATTATTTGCTAGAATGCACTCCGCGCCTAATTGATATTTAACTCGGGACATTTTCCATTACTAGTTTTTGAACACGTGTGTTGCATGTGTATTCCAAGTTATTTTTATAAAAAATAGATAAAATATAATAAATTTAAATTACATACGTATTGTTCATTGTTGATACACTATTAGAAATTATAATATTAAAAGTTACAGCTCATTTGAGTGAGAATATATGATATTTAAGTGACCATATCTCAAATTCAAAGTAAATCAAATTCAAAATAATTGAATAACCTTCTCTATCTGAAAAGATGAACTATTACATTAACTTAGTTTATTATTTACAATAACATTATTTTAGTTTATGAGGTAAAAAATATGTCACTTGGTCGCGACTACCTAACATTTTCTCATATACATATTCTTGGTGTATATTCGATTACATTATTTTAGTTGGGTTTTTTCATTATTGTGTAGCTACCATATCAAATTGCTCATTTTGTTCTCTGTCCCTTTTAATGATCGTCGTAGTTGATCTTTTACGGGTGTAGATGAGGGGAAAAGTTGGTTATAAGATTATGTTATTATCTCGGAAAGCAAAATATAAATTTTATATTAGTTATCAGCGAACCAAAAATACACTTATAAAATTACAATATTGCAAGAAGTTCCACCTTGTGCGCCACACATGAGAGGATTATAATGACAAGAGATTCGAATTTAAAAAGTAAATTTGATATCAAATTAACCATAAGATAATCAGATGTATACGGGGAGATCCTTTTTGCAATACAAACTACACAATCAAATAAGAAATTATCCAGAAAAAAGAATTTCAAAAGCTGATCCAAAGAGTTAGAAAGACGTCTACAAAAGCATCATGCGAATCCATTTTTCCCCGAAAACGAAAATCTCATGATCACAAACTTGATGAAAACAAAACTCTACCAACTTATTTCATGTGGTAGAGCAAATGAAAATTAAAGAAAAAAATTAAAGAGAACATGTGCGAGAAGAAAAGTTGTTCTCTAGCTATCTAAACAAAAATCACCCAAAAACAACAATTGGACTCAATATATCCTCATAAAGTAGTTCAGAACAGATTTAAGGAACACATCCAATGTTAAAAACGTCCATTCTCGCCGGAAAGGAAAAGAGCTCACCTTAGTGACCCACTCCTTACATAATACCTATATATATTTGTTGAAGACAAACAAAATTATACTTTAAAAAAAAAGGTTAATAATCATGTGTCCGAAGGGAAAGAATAATTCAATTTACATCAATAAAAAGCAAATAATTTTGAATTATGTGAATAGAATTTAGCCAAAAAAATAGAATATTCACTTTTATTTTTCCAGCAGATTAGCATTGCATCATATAGCCTTGATATTACTCGTTCTTGAAAGTAATGGAATTAAGAATTCTATCAAAGGTAGTCGAACATTAATCTTTTCGACTCTGCTATTGCCACCAAGCTTTGAAGACATTCATCTTCAACATGACTTTTTTCTAATGAGATCTTTAAATAAATAGACTTATCAGAAAAAGACAATTGCAAAATTGAAAGGAGAGAGATAGATTGAGAGAAACAAATAGACATGCAACATGGGAAATGCAAAAATGTTAGTTCATGAAATGTATTAATTAATTTATCAACATAAGTGATGGGATTAGTGTCCTTTCATTTGCTTTCAGGTTTAGATTAATCGAGATGATATCGAGACATATATGAAGAGTACGTTTTTGTACTATTCAGATACAATTTGCATTGAAGAGAATTTGGTTCATATTATATTATTAATTGTAACTCCTCAGATTCTTAACTTATTACTGGTTGCTTTTTCGTGTATCAACATTCCATGAGTGTTTTGGTAGGGTGGAACAAAATTATCATTTATTGTTCAATAAATTTACTTTTTAATATAAAATTGTTATAAAAATATTGTTTAAGAAAAGGGTAAAATTGTCAGTTAGTTTTAATTGGGTAGTATAGTAATTCAACTTTCACTTTTGCTCTTCCCACTTATAATATAGTATGATTTTCTATAGATATGAAAGGGTGAGCTCAATTAGACCAATTTACATTTGTGCAGGTAGATGTACAACAACCACCCAGTGTATTCCCACAAGTGGGGTCTGGTGAGAGTGACATGTACGCAGCCTTATCATATCCTGATGGCAGAAAGGTTGTTTCCGATAGACAGACTTGTGCAGATAAATGTACAATTTTCAATTATCTATTGGGAGCTCAATTTACCGTCTAAGGCGGAACCATCATTGTGTTTATGTGCTATAATATTCTAAACGAGATTAGAGACACTTGTAAATTACCTCGAAAAGAAAATAATTTACGAATTTCCATGTAGCCATTATGATCTGATGTCCACTAACACAAACGAAAAACTAGAACTAGAATTTCTTGATCCACCTCTTTTAGCACGAAGCAAGTTAGAAACACAAAGGCTAGTGAGTTCATTCTTGTTATTTGTTTATAGCTTCTTGCCTACCTCCAGTAAGGAGACAGGACCATTTTGGTTCGGAAGTTTTGGACTTGAAGTGGAAGGCAGAACACGATATCACTGGTTGGTTGGTTCAGCTCCTCATTGCTATTTCAAAAGAAAACATTAAAATGAAGAGGAAAATTGGAGCTACACTTCGTTTAACCCATCTGTAAATTCAAACATCTGTTGGTAGTTTCTCCAATAAGAGTTACATTAGTGCAAACTGTTTTCAACTTCGCGCTGGCTGTCGTTGCAGGATAAAACCAACATCACCAGAAGTTTAATGCCCAGACCTATAAACATAGGAGTTCCCCTTTTCAACAACAAAGAACATGGAAAATTGCACAGAATGTCCAGGATTTGGGTAAAGGAGACATGCAACTGGACTGCGGTCAGATAGTAAAATTTTCCACTAACTGCAAAAGTCAAACATCCCATCACAAAGAATTAACTCTGGAAGTACTAATATACATGTAACTGGGGAGCTTCTCGCCACCACAACAAATGGAGCAGTCAAAAACCAGAAAGATCCTTCTATATTTGGAAAATGGAAAGGAAAACAATGTTTCAGCTCTGGACATACTATAAACCCTTCCCTGGAAGGTGCATAATCACAAAATGTTTCAAAGTGTTGCCATGGCCAAGCCCCACTTTTGTTATCTCCAGAATAGGCCATAGAAACACTCGTCTGAAGCCCGATCTGCTGCTACAGAAAATGCTGTTGCTTCTCATCTTTTCCTTGTCAAATGCTTTTTGGCTTCCCTGGCATCACCTGCAGTATGCTTCTTCCGCCTTCCACCAGCTGAAGCAGGCTCTACTAAAGGCCCCGACCAATTCTGTACAGGTTCTTTTGAATATGTGAATGAGGTTGAACTGAATGGCACATCAGGAGGGACAAGGGCAGGATCAATGTGATGTGAAGCACCCAATGGAACACCAAGTCCTCCATCCTGGTGTGGTGGGGGAAACTTCTCACTCTTGCTCTTTGCATTTGCATGTGTGATTAGGCGCCGCCGCTGCAATGTAAACAGATTGCCAAAATACCAGTTGAAGAAAATCAATGGAACAAAAAGTAGAAGTTATGCAGTAGTCATGAACATGCAAAATATAAGTTATATGGTGGACTATAAACCACTGAAACTTTGGCAAATAGAAGGCATGTATACCAAATTAAAAAAAGGCTAATGACGTCAAAAAAGTGCCAAGCCTGAAACTTGCCAAAGTAGAACGAACAAAAGGAACAATCACTTCAAACAAGTTGCCCAAGAAGCATAACAGAAAAAACTGATGGCTACTGTCAATTCCACTATAGACTGGCAAATCATATTTCCAGAACAACTACTTTTTCAAATCTGCTTAACTGACAGTTAATATGAAAACTTGGTTCAATCTTTTCAAATTTTCTCGGTGATAAAAGGAACAAAACAAATGATAATGAAGTAATGAACATGGTAAATAAAAAAACAAGTTTATAACTGAGCCACAACAAAGCAGGAGACTTGTCATAGAGACATACATCAATATTAGCTTGAAGTTCAGCATTGGCATCTGGAGCAGGGCCAGCACGAGCCCGTTCCCGATGGCGTACTCTCTTAGTACCATCTCCCTGAGCTTTGTTAGCAGCTCTTAGCCTGCACAACAAGATGAAATGAGCAGCTATACCACATTTGTCACCTCTTCACAAGCACTGAACAGAACCCAGAGGAATGGATATTACGTATAGTTATTTCCAATCAGGAAGAGAGAATGAAATTAAAAACATCAATTGAAGTTAACTGTTAAACACAATGGGAGAAGAATGAGATCTTGAAAGATCAATTGCATCCGAGCATAGTACAATTAACAAGAAAAACAGCATTGAAAAATTGACAAGCCAACTATTAAGTCCAGTACTCCACAAAATAATGATAAAAAGGTATAAAAGGTCGAGAGCAATTCTAGTTCATGGTCAAAATAATGGCTTGATTAACAGAATGCTGGTTTTTTGTGATGAAATGTTGAATTAGAGGATTTAAACTATAGGGCACGCCTAGTTGATTAAGATAATTTAGAGGGGTACTTAATGTAATTGAGCTTAATACTCCCTCGGCTTCAATTTATGTGTCTTACTTTCTTTTAGTTTGTCCCAAAAAGAATGCCTCTTTCTATATCTAGTAAAGTTGCAATTCCAACATCCCCATTTTACCCTTAATGACA